TCGTTGTACCCGGATGATGACGATGATGATGATGACTTCACAATATCTCAACCGGACAAACAAGACGTCGTGATGTCGAAAGGAGAAGATGAAGAAGGTGACTGTGTGTTGTCAGAGGAAGAAGACGGATCCTCCGTAACGTCAGGAGAAGACGAAGAAGTATTACCCCATGTCGGAAGATGAGGAACGTGACGAAGACGGGGAGGGTGAGGAAAAACAGCAAGAAGGGACAGCTTGGATCGGGAAGTTGATCGGTCGGCTGCACCACCACCTGCGTCAGTTACCCGTCGTCGGTTTCAACTCTGGGAAGTACGATGTGAACGCCATGAAGAGAGTATTCCTTCCCCTCCTGCACACACAACAGGAGAACCTGCGGCCCATCAAGAAGGACAACAACTTTATGTCCATCGAGACAGATCATCTCAAGTTCCTGGATCTGATCAACTATGTGGCGCCCGGGTTCTCCTACTCCCACCTTCTCAAGGCGTACGAGTGCCAGGAGACGAAAGGCTTCTTTCCGTAAGTTCATTATTAGTATTGAAAATGCTATATATTCTTCATGTTGTTTGTGCGTTGTTTCGTTATGCGTGTGTATCACATTGACTTCAATAACACAATGTGTTGTTAACTCGTGTTGCTTTTCCTTTCAGGTACGAATGGATGGACGACCTGAATAAGTTGGAGCAGACAAGCCTTCCACCTGCCGACGCCTTCTACAGCAAGTTAGATGGGACACACATTTCTCCAGAAGACTACGTCTCCTGTCAGAAGGTCTGGGAAGAACGCGGCATGAAGACCATGAAGGACTTTCTGATATGGTAGGTGTACATTCGTGTGTGTCTTACTGTGGTCTTACATGGGGTTTGCTCCCTTTCTTTACAGATCAATGGACGGCCGTACACAGAATAATGACCGGTGTTTCCTCTCAATTCTTGTAGGTACAATAACAAGGACGTCGTTCCCATGCTGGAGGCGATCCAGAAGATGGTCGACTTCTACAGAGACCTGGGGATAGACATGCTGAAGGACGGCATCAGCGTTCCCGGTCTAACACTCAAGTATCTATTTATGAACTTAGAGTCTGACACATATTTCACACTAGTAGACAAGGAAGATGTGTACAAGTTGTTCAAAGAAACATTGTAGGAGGGCCGAGCATCATCTTCCACAGATATCACCAGAAAAGTGAGACGTTTATCCGTCAAAAAGAAATGGAACATAGTGGTAGACAACCGAAGCTATGTCAGAAGGTGATTGGTTTCGATGCCAACGCCTTGTACCTATGGTCATTAATGCAAAATATGCCAACGGGGTATTACATTCGGCGGCAGGCAGAGACTGAGTTCGTGAAGGATTATTCCGCTCCTTCTCGGGGGCCGTATGGCTACAGAATGGTTAGACTGGGTAGCCCACAGCCGTGACATCGTCATCCGGAACAAATTCAACAGTACCGAAAAACGTATCGGTCATCGCCAAGTACCCGTGGACGGTTTCTGCTCCGCTACCGCGGAAATTTTCCAGTTCCACGGGTGTTTCTGGCACGGTCACGACTGTTGTCTGACTGAGGGTCTTGATTTCAACCCAGTACGACAGGAGTCTATGCCCAACATACGCGAAGTTACAAAAGAAATGACCGAATATTTGCGGGGGGAAGGGTACAATGTGATTGAAATGTGGGAGTGTCAATGGCAAGACCTAAAGAGGACTAAGGAGGTGTCTGCCTATTTGGCCCAGTGCAAGACTCCTACCGAAAACAGGTACAAAATATCCCAAACGGAAATCCTCCAGGCTGTCCGTGAAGATGAATTGTTCGGTGTAGTCGAGTGCGACATCCAAGTCCCTGCACATCTCAGGGCACATTTTTCAGAGATGCCTCCAATCTTTAAAAACTGTGATATTAACATCGACGACATCGGACCCTTTATGAAACAGTACGCCGAGACGCATGGCATCATGTCAAAACCTAGGCGATCGCTGATCGGCAGTATGTTTGGTCAAAAGATTCTACTTGCGACACCTTTGCTGAAATGGTATCTCAATCACGGTTTGGAGGTGACCCATGTCTATCAGGTACTGGAGTACATCCCCAGGAAGTGTTTCGAACCTTTTGGCCAAAAAGTCAGTGATGCTCGTCGTGCCGGCGATAAAGACGACAAGAAGAAAATCATCGCCGAAACGATGAAACTCATTGGCAACAGCGCTTATGGCAAGACGGTCACTAACAAAGAGAGACAATCTGACGTGTGTTACTGCGACAGTGCCGTCGCCGCAACTCAAAAGATCAATGCCCCCTGTTTCAAGAAGATTTCCGAGGTAGTCGATGGCTTCTACGAAATCGAAACGGGCAAGCGCAAGATCAAATTCGACCTGCCACTTCAAATTGGGTTCTTCGTCTACCAGTATGCGAAATTGCGTATGCTGCAGTTTTATTTTGACTTTATGCTCGAGTTTGTGGACATCTCTGATTTCCAATATTGCGAGATGGATACAGACTCGGCCTACATCGCCATCTCTGCGGACAGGCTGGAGGACGTCATCAAACCCCACATGAGGGCGAGGTATGAAAACGAGAAACACCTCTGGTTCCCCCGCACTGACAACCCCGAACACGCGGCTTACGACAAGCGCACCCCCGGTCTGTTCAAGGAAGAATGGTCTGGGGATGCGATTGTGGGGTTGTGTTCTAAAACTTATTATTGCTTTGGTGGGGACGACAAAACCAAAGACAAATTCAGCTGTAAGGGGGTAAGCAAAAGACAGAATGTCATCACTCTCCAAAAGTACCTGCAAGTCTTGGAGACTCAGAAAAGCGGTCAGGGCGTGAACCGAGGTTTCCTTGTCAGGAACAATCAAATGTTGACTTATACACAGACACGGGACGCGTTTTCCTACTTTTATCCAAAACGTCAAGTTCAGGATGACGGTGTCACAACTCTGCCCTTAGATATCTAGTGTATTCATGTGTAATTCAATACGTATCTATATGTCTGTACATTGCTGTCATGTCTACACATACAAGTAAATGATATGTCGTAGATAAAGCTACAACCAGGCAGTTGTTTTTCTTGATGATCTACGGACACTGAACTGTAGGTGCATATTGATTTGCAACATGTTGAAAGATGTCTATTTTGCCAATGTACGTTCGTTGTAAAATAAAAAAAAAATCTCAACATGATGTCACACGATGTTTGTCGTTTCCTTTCCTTCACCGTAGCGTGAAGCGGTTGCGTGCATGAACACTTTAGGTTTAGGTACGCACTACGCAGAAAGACGATGAAAAAAAAATAAGGTGCACACTTTCGTAAGATAAGCACAACTCGAATCATTCGTATTGCATTTGTACACAAACACATTGACATTTGATATGGCCATGACGTATGAACAGATATGAACCGAGAGTCTCTCACTTTGCATACACAACACATGCCATGAATCAAAGATGTTGATATCGTGAGTCATGATTTGCATACGTGGTATATCTTCGTGAGCGCGTGCACATCGCCTCATTTCTCAGTTGTCCACCGAAGAGAAAGGAAGCATGTCTTTCGTCTGCGAGGTATGTGACAAAGAGTTTGCTCGTAAGTTCAACCTTGATCGTCATCAAGAAACCAAACACCGAGACGAGTCAGCTGTGACCTCGGAGGAAGTCGTCGTAGACCCCGAGACGGGATCTTGTCGAAAGCGGGATGTTTTTGACGACGACTCCGACATGTCTCATGAACATGAGACGGACGCGCTTGATTCATCGCCCGACGAGGAAGATGAAGAAGACACCGATGACAAAGATGAGGCCTCAGTCATTTTGGAAGATGAAGTAACCGTCTCAGACGAAGATGAGTCTGTTGTGGACTCTGAGGAGGCAGATTTAACGACAGAAACCGACAGCGATCAGAGTGATTCAGAGAGTGACGCAAGCTCGGACGTATCTTCCGACCCGGCTTCACCTGATGGTAGTGACGAGTACGGCTACGACAGCGGTGACGAGGAAGAAGAGTGGACGCTCTTTCGAGACTGGACCATTCGACTCAATCAAGAACCAGGCGATG